TACTCAAAAAGAAGAGGGGAGGCATCTTCAGCATTTTGGGTTTTGTTAATTAATTTTTTGCAGTTTACTGTCCCAGTTGTCTTTAGATGACTCTCATTTTTTCTTCCTATTAGGGCTAAATCCTTTCCCTGCAAATGTTTACCAGGGAATGTAATTTTCAATACCATAAATAGTCTAAAATAATTATATAGGCTGGGTTACTGTGTGCTAGAAACACCAAGTCAGATCTGAGTTCAGCACCAGTCTTTAGAAAACCACAATAGAAAATTTGTGTATACTCTTTGACTAAGAAGTTAGTCAGCCAAAAACTTGGAAAAAGTAAAGGCTGTTCCGGTTCAGAAGAAAACCTGGTGCTGGAATTAGGCTGTTTCTCTTAAGAAATTCTATTTATTCACAAGGCACATACAAATCCTGCTTCCACAAACAGAAAAGAACAACCAGCAAAAGATGCTGCTTTAGAATAGACTTTTCCAAAATGGTTTCCGCCAGCATTCAAGTACAAAACTCCTTTTAGACTTTTTTTTTTTTTTAACAGCAACATTCCATGGGATTTTAGGCTTCATCTACTGCTCCTCTCCAAGCAACCTCTCTAGCCTCTTTCTTTAACCCCTTTGCATTTTCTGCCTTTCACACACAATGTACCTCTTCATAAAACATCATCTGACAGAAATGTTCCTATTCCCACAGAAGCCCATTTTTGAGGCAGTKACAATGCTTGGATTCAAACTGCTGCTGCTTATTAAATAACTTGACAAATTCTCMCAACTCCCTTTCTATGGAAGGGGTACTAAAATTCTGGTTTTACAACATATCCACAACCTTAAGGTGATTTTTAAAAAGGGTATGCTTCAAAAACCAAGATGATTCACACTGATAAAAGATACCTTATTCTCTTTGTATCTGCTGAGATCTGCTATACAGTATTCTTTGAACAATTTATCATAATACTTCTTTGCAAGTCTCTTCTCCCTAAAACAAAATGTATTGGTTTTTATTAAATATACAAGAGAAGAACACTTGACATTGTAATGACATTAGCAAGACAAAGACATRTTTCCTTGAAAGAACAGAAGTTGTAGACCTACAAATGCAACAGATACACAYTCATTAAGGAGTAATTTCCATAAAACTGGAAAAACAAATATAAAATAAATCCACAGYACATACTAGACTGTACTTTTTCAAATTCTGATTTCTTCTGAGTTTTTGAACAGTCATTTGGGTCTCATAGTAACTAGTATTAGTTCTTTCTGTTATCAATTCATGTTGGTATTTGAGCAATATTACAATATGAAAGACCTTCTAATGGTCTTTCATTTTCAAATGCATCAAAGATCAAAGAACCATCACCAAGTATGCACAGTAATTCTTAATTAGTAGAGGAAAATACAAATTTAGTACAAGTGATCTAAAAATAACACATCCTATAATAGTTTCACGTACCAATTCATGTCTGCTTCATCTTCTTCATTCCACAGAAATCTATGGTTTTCTCTAATAACATCAAGATCCGTCTTGTCATTTGCTCTATAAAAGGACACACCTTTTTTTTAGTATGATGTAACATTAAAATAAAAATCCATCAAATAATAATTTAGTAAGCATCAATATTTTACAGTTCTGATCTCCACCTCACAACATAAAGGAATACATTGCAATGAAAAAAAACTATCAAAAATGTATTCCCTGGCATACCTGTTCCCAAATAAAAAAACTCATGATGAAAAACGGCCACTGAAATTGGGGATGACTTGACCCTGTCTGAAAACACTTTTTACACTCTTTATTGAGGACAGTGATATTAAAAGGCAGTTATAGATAGCTCTAAAGAAGTTATCATTATTCTGGACAACGGATAGCAGTTCTGCACATTTCAAAAGTGTTTCAGACTGTTATTTTGAAGGTACTGACAGATATTTCTCAATGTACCCTCAATTAATGATCACCTGTCATCTTTCCTTTTACATAACAAAAGAAGAATAATTCAGCCCATGGTAAGTTCCTATCTAAAAATATGGAAACAAAATTAAACTAGGCAGTTTTGTGTTTGGATATTTGCAATTACTGTAGTTACTATTTGTGACCAAAATAATTAGTAATTTGATACATAGCTACATCCACCTCTGCCTCAAAGCTATAATATATATTTAACAGCTTTACATAAAAGGGGAGCTTTGGGGTCAAGGAGGGGAAAGTTTGTTAACAGTTCTCACCCAGATCGTCGGAAATCCTCTATTTTGCCGCCATAGTATAAAATGTAGTCATGCACAAACTTTTTATGTCTTTCATACTAAATAAARCAATTAAGGATTGTTTCAGAAATTATTTCCTTTTGTTTTACCATAGTTTAAAAGAAAAAAAAAAATCAACAAAAATCTTCTTATATACTTTAGACAGCAACTTTTCTTCTCACAAACTGTTCAGTGATTTCCAAACAAAAGAATGATATTAATTAGCAACTTTTACTTAATAATCTCTCATAGAAACTAATTTCCAAATACAGCAAATCAATGCAATTTCATCCTTAAAACCTCATTCATCATTTTAAAAACTGTCTTCCTTTATCAAAGATGCTCTGTATGCATATACACAGAAACTTGTTTTATTTTTTCAGCTGTGATTTAGACAACAGCTTCTTTGTACTGCAGTTTTGGTTTCAAATATATTTGTACTTTTCTATTATAAAAATGATCTGGCTACTAAAATTGAATACTTTCTTACATTTTTACCATCAACATACAAATAAAAGTTGTATGCTTTAGTTTGGAAATGAAAATCATGGGAAAACATGTAATGTTTCTTAGAACACTTTGGCCTCAKAAACGTAATTTGAAATACATTTTGTACCATAATTCGAGCAAAATATGTAATTATTTATTCAGACAATAAGCTTCTTCACAAATTAAATCTTTATATATGGCTTCTCAAAAAGACTTTCAATTAACTTTTATCTCAACAGCAAAAAGAAGGTCCTGTGAAGAAGGACTCAGTATCTAGCACTGTAACTGAGAAATCCCAGTATTTTACCATAATAGATAATCTGTGCCCCATCTTCAAACTTGAAAAATGAAATAGAAGGATACAGCATCCATAGATATCAAGTGAAATCTTCTTTTTCTTGCTTCTTCCCTGTTAATAACAAACATGTTTCAGTGAAAACTATCTTTCCATTAAGAGGAAAATGTCTCACAAAAGCAAGGTATATAAAAAATACCTATCACATTCTTCAGCTGCAAATTGTCTGTGAACCACACTGCCTTGTTTTGCTTTTTGGAAWGGCTTTATCAGGAGGGCATCTTCCTCTGTTCTAAAGGTAGGTGGGATAAAAGGAAGAAAAGTTAGTCATCAAGAACTTTTCATAAGCAATAAAACTTCCATATGCTTTATCTGCCTTGCACTATTTTGAGTACCAAAAACTGTTATATTTCTATTTTCTACAAGAGTAAAATGAAACTCCAGAACCAAAGTCAGCTTGGACTTTACTCATTTGCAGAACAAAATCAGAAAGGTATTTGCTTCCAGTTGCCACTTATAGGCCRTTGCTTAAAATAGAAATTTGTAATATTTTTTTATTAATATTATCACTATAGAACCACAATGAAAAAAAACTGGAAGATTCCTCAGCTTCACTCTGACATTTAAAGTCCTTTACAAARGACTACAGCTACACAACAAAGTAGGAACAGGAAGGACAGTGCATTCATTGAATGAGAGTGACTAGCAGTAACCCTATTCCACCCCTTCATGCCAATGTCCCCACACCTCATCAAACAGCTCTGTCTCTTGTAGTGTAATCAGAAGAATCACAAATTTAAAAATCAATTGCCATGTTGTAAACCACACTTGTCAGCAGGCAGCTAAAAATACTTTTACAGTTCAATGAAGTAATAAAAAGTTAAAGATACACATTTCATCTAGGAAAAGGTATATTCAATTAATTTCATTCATGAACTGAGCTGAAGAAAAGATTTTTCCATTTTTATCAGCGGGCAGAAAGAATGGAAATCAGAAACATGAAGAAAGCAAGCCWGGGAATTTGTTTCTAGCTGTGGAATATAGAACTCTCGTAACTAAGAGCATCATTTACTCAAAAGGATATGTAAGCACAAAATTCCAATGAGGAGACTGCATAAAACAACAATTTGGAGAGAATTTAAGACTACTATTTTCCTTAAAGTGAAAATAAATACCATGATAGAGCAAGAAAAGAAAGCCACATAACAGCCCTACTGGGAATCAGCAGTGGTGTGCCAGAACAAGGATAATGATGGTATTTTTGAAAGGCTCCTGACAGTTAGTTAATATTGCACCTAGAAAGTGTGCAATGGCATTTAAAGAAAATATTATCTGAACAAAATGAGTCACTATTTTAACGGAGAACAGCTATATTTATAAAATAACTGAAATGGCACAATGCCTGTTATTGTTTCAAATATTAAAACATGATTTTTTTTCCCGGAATGCAATCAGACAATACAAAACCCAATCTTTCAACTTTTCTATAAAGGAAAACTATGCAATACTCCTAGGAAAGTTTCCAGAAAGTCTTCTTAAATAAAGTTCAATGAAAGAGCAAGGGAGAGACAGGAAAAACTAAGAAAACTATATGCAAAATCTAGGCCAAATGTTCAGTATGGTGCAGAAAATGTCAAGGAACTACAGTACAAAAGCAAAACAAATACATAAATAAATACAAATCTTTAAATATAGTAAGATCAGACTACAAAATTTGAGGCCACTAACGGTCCAAACCACTGAAAGTACTGGCCAAGGTCATCACAAATAAGAGATGTACAGGTGCATTTCAAGGATTGACCACAACACAGTTCACCAATTCCCAGGCCTCTTCACAAATTAAATAATAAAGTAGCATCAATTCTTCACTTTATATCTCTGTGTTTTATATCTACAAAGCCTGCTACCACTTGGCCTTTTTAGCCTTGCTCTCCTAGCAGTTCCATTTGTCCTGATGGATCACAGTGATGTGAASAGTGCTGCCAAAACCCGCAGTGGATACTAATGCTTGGAAAAACAAAACACTCTGCTCCAACAACTGAGGGGCAAATATACACCAGATGGAGATGGCAGAACAGATCTTAATCAGCTGCCCCTAGGAGATGACAAGCTTTGGCAAGCTTGAGATGAGGAGATGCAGAAATCAAAGAGATTGATTTTTWAAAAAAAAACATTTCAACGCCAGAATACAACGCCTACATACAACAGCATCTTCTATGCACACTAAGAGGCCATTTGTACAAAATACATAATGCAAAGTGTTAATACTGTATTACATTACCTTTTAGTCTTTTGCAGAGACTTCTCTCCACTCTCCTCATCACTAAAATCAGAATCATAGCCTCCATGGCCACGTGCCTGAAAATAATAGACTAGTCAATATATTTGCTAATGTAATATGGATATGGCATAATTACAAATCAGTACTGTCCATCATGCATAAATAAGAGGGCAAGAGAGAGCAAGCAATAAGAGCAAATTCTCATCTGCCTAAGCCAAACAAAATTCCACAGACAATGCAGAGTATATTCCAAATAACACAAGGCAAAGAAAGATCATTTTATAAAACAGATCATTTTATAAATAATTTATATGCAGATGTCCTCTTATTTAACTTTCACAYAGATGCAGAAAACTAAAAGTATGATAAATAGCTTTGGTTTTTATTTTCCAAACAATGTTCTTTATGTGAGAGAAAGGTGAGTATTTTCCCTAGGAACCAGTCTTTCAGAGGGCTGGAGAGCAGCAAGTGATATGCTCACTTTATAAAGAAAGAAAAATAGGAATAAACGATTCTTGGGCTGTGATGCAGCATTTTAGATCATTTGATCTCATACTGGTAGCTGGAAATCTGATCGAAGCAATAACTGAAATACAAAAAGACAATATGCCTGCAAAAATGTACTGCCTCATCAGCACAACATTCCYACCAGAAAATGAAACCTTTTTTTCCACACACTTTTAGACTACARTGTCAAATTAATGCATATAAGAAAAACAAAATATCCATATCATAAMGCTTTCAAACAACCAAGCACTGACTGATGCCCAGATCTATCACCAGCATTTTTCAAGGCACAGTGTCATGTTCAGTTCCTTCAGGAGAWGCAATGGTTTAAGCAGATCCAATCTCCTCTCCCTCACTCCTACTCTGGTACCTTCCTTCCAGTTTCTCTGTTACAGTTGTGAAAGTACACAYGAACCAGATCAAAAAACTCGCCCTAGTTACAAAGGAACCTATGCAAAAAAAAWATTAAAGTTCCCTTACAGTTCATCCAGAGCCCCCACAACCTACACCAGGTAGTTGAAGGGGCAGCACAGGGAGAGAGCAGCCAGAGCTGGTAACTTCATAAACCAGCACAGACTCCAAACAAACTTCTACACAACTGAGGTAAAAACAAGAGGGATGGTTATTAAGGTATCTGCATGTGGAAAGGTGCGACACACGCTACCTATCTTGTAACTGTGGATGAGAAAAGACACTGGGCTAGAAAACAAGCATGTTTGATTCAGCTGATCACTTACAATCATATTCCTCCTCAGCCAAGAAGCTGAGAAAAACAAAGCTGAAAAAAAGACATAACTSCTCAGGATGATTTTGATGAGGTGCCTTCTCTTGACGCAAATGCCTCGCAGAAATGCTGCGCTGAAGAGTCAGCTGTATCCTCTACTGACACCACCAACTCGTTTGTATCGTGCACAGTATGTAAAACACTATCTTCTCAGACTWATGGGGAAGGGATGTTTTAAAGATTTAAAAAAATGTTTTATTATTATTATTATTAATACTGTAATGTTCCTCCCACTCTTCTGGATGCTTATAAAGAACACATAATTCTCCTCTAAATATATATTTGAACAAAAGCAAATAAGAACTTTTTTCTGTTTTCTGCTTTCTATTTCCCAGGAGACATAAAAATTATCCATTACCAAGCAAAACAGAAACAAACAAAAAAACAACTCCCCCAAAACTAAACTAACTAAATCCCAAACCAAACAAGCGCAGCAGATGTCTGCTGCAATTGGTCCYCATGCACCGGCAAAAAAAGCAGCAACAATGTACTCTTATAGCTAGGTGGGTCTAACTGCCAGCCTGTTGCTACTTTTGTTACTGAAAAAAAGTCTGAACACACTTTAGACAGTTTGAACACTCCATGAATATTCAGCAAATATATTTCTATTTGGCCACTAAATTTAAAAAAATATCACGCTAATCTGGGTATGTTTTCAATGGCATTAGTAATGCTTCCCAAATGAACATCGAGAGCTTCCTTCACACTGAAAAGGGAAGAAAGTCCCAGCCAACACCATGAGCACGAAAGCATTAGACAGATGAAGCACTGAAACAGACAAGAGGAAAGCTCAAATGAAAAGACATTTTCACAAAGCAGTTGCTCTTCAATGAAGTACCCCAGGAAAGAAGCAGACATCCTCAATAATCAGCCAGGAATGACTCAAACAAAAAGAAATAAGATACAAGAAAAGCTGCTCCAACAGAGTCATACTGCAGGGCTCTCTGAAGTTGATGACTGCCTTTTGTAAAGCTGACTGCGAATATAAGGGCAGGTATGGCTAAGGACTAGGTTGCTCTTCCAACAGCTTCAGGCATTCCTCTGAATCATTACAATACCTCAAAGATAAATTCAGAGTGAAAAAGAACACAACTCATGACTGATGTCCTGACACTTCTAGATCACTTCTCCATCGAAGGCAACAGCAGCACAGACACTGCATTGGTGCTGGGTTTGACATCAGCAGCTCCAGCAGTGCTGGACCACACTCGTGGAGAGAATAATTTGCCTGGGACTGAATAATTTCTAAGCTGACACCTTAGGATGATACCAAAATGACCTGACTTTTGGTAAAACAGTGTATTTTGTGAGTTCCATCAAAGAATCTCATCCATAAATGAATCTTGCCATTTTGGAAGGAGAATGTAAACAGACACCTACTTAATACTGTATAATTTAGTGACAGATTTCTCTCCTTCTGCCCAAAAAAAAAAAAAAAAAAGAGAGCCAGACAACAATACCAGAAGAAGAAAATGTTTAATATAAGAGAAGAGCAGATAACTTTGTTCCCAGCCTGCAGATACAGACATGAACACAAAATTTAAAATAACTACTTTCCCTATTTAATAAACACTTTAATATAAACTTCTCTTGGATGGAATTTGTCAGACTCAGAATGTTTCTAGTAAATTATTAATACAAATACCAAGTGTTTTATTGCAATATAAACCTGAAAGCTACGTAATTTAAATGGTGCAGTGTATTTTGCTGTTGCATCAACTTTGAATTTTTTATTCCCAAACAACAAAACAAACCACAAAATTAAAACAAGCACAAATATGCTTTGGGGTACATTGAGCTCACTTTTAAGTAATCCAAACATCTTGGATTATTTAACAGTGAAACARCTGGAGACAAAACAGAGTCCACTTAACTCTTGGCTCCTAAAAGCCATACAAAACACAGTAAATGTACAAATGTTGTACGTAACTGATGTCAGACTGAGATACCTACTCTTGATGTCAATACAGAGCACTACAAACTGCCCAGTACTGCATTTACAGCAGCTATTTGCATCTAGAGAAGGCACCTCCTTTTATGTCTCTTCCAAGAGGATGAACACACACTGGTGAAATGGACATATCACAGTTCATGTTGACCCCTTTCCAGAACAGGTGGCTAAACAGTTTAAATAACAGTTTAAAAAGAATAAAAGAAGGCAAAACAATCCTATAAAATATGTGGCTTCTGACCTCAGGCCTAGTGTTGCCACTGCCCGTGTAAGTATTGCTCCCATCCTTCCTTTTATCTGCCCAGCACGCAGGTCTGTGGCCGTGTCTGCTCTAAGCCCAAATGTGGCCCAGAACAGGCCCGAGTGCTCACTTTAGTACAAACTATTTAGGGAGGGTCTGAAGGAAGCACAGGTTTTCCAAGAGGGCTTGAGGAGCCATCCTGGCTGGATAAAGAGTGTTGTAGGGAAGGTCAGAATGCTTCACTGCAACATGTTCGTCCCACCTTGATGCTGTCTTAATGAGACTTTGCCAATCCTAGCTGGGGGGAAAAAAAATCTAAGAACAGGCACAACTAGTGTCAAACCTATTCTTTCTTATAAAAACATTTACAAGGAGTGCTTGCATATACTGTACAGAGAACTGGGCTAACAAAGAGAGAAGGCACTCACAAGACACTGCCCCTTTATTRAAACTATGAAAGAAAAAGTAGGAGTAAAAGGTAGGTAACAGCAGACCACGACATCGAGGATTAGAGCTTTGTGGAGCTCCACAGAGAAAAATCACACCGAACACCGGCCCAGGTGTGTCGGACGCAGCTTCCGAAGCCGTTCATTCTCAGTTGCTTTCCCGCAAGTGGTCCAGTGCTGTCCCGGYCCGCCAGACCCGTCCGCCCCGCCGGAGCGGGGCATAGGCACGACCCCCCGGCTGCCCGCCCGCCCGGGGAGGCGGCTCGGCCCTTCCCCGCACGGGCACGGGCACGGCCGGGCCCCTCCGCCCGCCACCATGGAGGCCGCGGCCTCCGCCGGGCCTGTCCCCGCCCGTCCCTGTCTAAMCCCCTCCGTCCCTCCCTCCCGGCCCCACTCACGGCCGCGGAGAGGCGCAGCTGGTTGGGCTCCATGGCCGCCTCCGCCGCCCGGCCCTGCTCCCGGCCCCGGCGCTGCTCTGCGGGCCGCTCCCGGAAAGCGGGGCAGAGGCGGAGCAGGGCCGCACCGGGAGCTCCCTTCCTCCCTCCGTCCCTCCCTCCGCCGCGGGCGGGCGGCGCGGGGCAGCGAGGCGCGGGGGAGGGCGAGGGCGAGCCCGCACGGGAGGGGAGGGGAGGGGAAAGCCGCTCATCATGTGTAGGGGCGAGGGGAGTCTCTCTGCCCGGGAACCCGGTGAGCGGCCCCGGCTGCCGCCGTCTCCGCCTCTGGGAAGGTAGGACTGTGCCGCAGGCGCCCAGAGAGCCCTCAGTGCTCCCCTGTCCTTCCCGGCCCGGATCGCCCCCGCACCATCCCCCGCGCTTTCGGCCAGGGCAGTCCCTGTCGTGGGGRCACGGGCTTAGACCCCGCTGCGGGTGCCGGGGTCCGGCAGAACGGGTCCCTCGGGAGGGATCGGGGGGTGGGGGTCGTTGTTCTGGAGGAGACCTCTCGTGGAGAAGGGGACCCCTCAGGAGGGAGGCCCGGGAGGCGCTGTGCGGAGGGCAGCAGCTGCCAGGCGTGCCCGGGAGATGAGCGCTGCCCTCGGCGCGGCASAGACCGCGATCGCAGCTCGGCATGGTGATCTGTAACGCTGATTTCTGCCTGTGCCAGCGGCTGCTCTGCTTTGCAGTCGCATCTCGCAGTTAGAAGAACGAAAGGCAGAATGTGACTCAGTTTCCCTGTGAGGACCAACGGCAACTGGGCGATAAGAGTTTGTGAGCCTGTGGATTGAATCMTAAAAAGGAGCTTTATAAACCAAAAGTGTTTTCTGATAAAGTAGCTGCGAAGCACCAATCTTCGGCATTAAGTTATCAGATACAGCAATTAGCTGTCAAGGAATTGATAGTTTCCCATCAAACACAACCTGAACTGCTGAGGTTTGAAGTGCTTTAATCCATCACAGGTACTTTATTCTGGACTGTGTCAGAGTTTCCAGTTGTGTTATTGATTCCTGGGTTGTAAACCATAGATACACTTAATACAGGGAAATATTAAAAATGAAATACTGCTACTATCCTTGTAATATCCAAGTTCTAAAATCTAAGTTACATGTAGTTGTTTTTCTGCAGTAGGGCAATCACACACTGTAGTTGACAGTGTATCTATCTCCTTACCTTGGCTACCAAATCTCCACTTTCAGAATTATTTTTTTCTCCTGACCTCGTGTTTGTGTTACTCATTATGCCATTATCACTGTGGAGGGATGTAAAAACGATTCTAAAGGGTCCCATGGAAAGGAATTGGAGTGGCACTGTGCTTATCTGAGTGCATGCAGTATTCTGCTGWAGTCCTATTGTATGCGGCCTGTTTCCTCTAAAGGGCAGAGACTCCGTTGCAAAAATGGAATTATCCTAATTAATAATTTAAATATATCAAAATAAATAATGTATACCCTCMAAGCTGTAATAGCGGGCATCTTTTTGTTGTTCTTGTCTTATGGAAATGACAGACTGCTTTAGTGTGAATGAATCCTGACATGATTCTGGAAAGTGGGCCAACGTATCATTGATTATGCACTTTGAAGAAGAATGGGAAAGGTAGAGGAAAGATTTGCAATTCTTGAGTCTCTTGGCATTGTGTTGTGGCCACAAAAGCCTGCATATAGAAAAAATACAGTTTCTGGGACAGGAAAATTCTGCAGTGAGTCCAACTATAGCAACTGCTGTAAATGCTGGAATTATTTTATAAACAGCTTTTCTGAGAATAGCAGCTAGATAATTTCATCCTGTTATGTTATGCTTTTCTGATGTCTGACTGTGTTGCTGTCGAACATCACCTGCGTACTTTTTATACATGGGCTACTGTAAGCTACAGTTGGGAAATGGGTTCAGAAGTAGCCTCCTAAATAAATTGGAAGTTGAAACTGAACATGCCCTTCGCGCTTGGTATATGCATTATACTTGGCTCCAATGGGAGTGTCTCTGTAGTTTAACTCTAGCAACAGTACATTTTGACACCAAGACGGCACTTCTCTCATATGAATCCCACAAGACTGGAAGATACAGAAAAAAGAACAGATGAGATGGGCATAATTCTTTACAGGGCAGAGGGTGCTACTGTTTTAAGTTGGATTTCAGTGTCTGTACAGCCAAGCTTTAGGAGTGCAGCTTTTCTTTATAAGTAAGTCAATCCATAGGTTAGCAACCGCTGAAGAGAGCATTCTTGAACTGGCCTTAGYGCTCATCTGACCACTCCTGCTGAACTGCAGACTATCATTTTCTGCTGGCCTAACTCCTGTGACTGTACTGTTGAGGTGTCTGATGAGTAATCCTGGTGGAGCAAAAAAGAGTAAGAGATAGAGCGATGGGACAGGAGGGAAGTGGGAGGTAAGAAATAGGGGCTGCCCCTTCAGTCACAGCTTTCTTTTAGATCAGCTCAGCAGTAGTGTGAAACAATAGCTTCAAGTTACAGTTGCCCTGAACTTCMTGGTCCACAAAGGAGACATCACTGTAGTTTTAACTTTAACTTTGCCTTAAATCTAGAGTGGGTTAAGTATGAGATCTGGTGTATCCAAAAAGCTTAAGTCAGACATGGTACATACATGGTGGAGATGCAGAATCCAAAGAATTTTACCTGACACACTTATTGAGCTGTTCCTAAAATGTTCTAGTGTAAGAGATTTSACAGCTTAAATATCTTAATCTGTTAACCTCTTAGGTATAAAGGGGTTTTTCTTTCTATCTAAGAAAAATCCTCTTTATTGCTACGTAAGATAATTTCTTAATGCCCTGCACTATTTGGTACAGAAAGCAAGAACTGATCATCATTTGAATAATATCTTTCTTGAAACACTGGCAGACATATATGCCCACAGTCTTCCCTTTTTGCAGCCTAAGAAAGTACTTCAACGTTTCGGTATAGTTTACATATTGAAAAACTCTTACATTTTATTGCTCCTTTTTCAGACTCAGATTTTTCTATGTATTTTTATGAAATATTAAGCATAGTTGTTTAGTCCTTAACAGTGTTTAGCCAGGAAGAAACACATCAGCCTTCCTGCAAGAAGGTGATTGCCTCCTAAGATCTTCWGGTAAAATTGTTTAAAGTCAACAGCCTCGATTTGTTGAATCTAAATTTTGTTAGCCAATTAAAAAATTGTTCCAACTTTTAATGAAACACATCAGAAGACTTTGCCAGCAGGCTTGAAGAGGCAGCAACCACTGGTATGGACAGCAAGGGCAAGGCAGTCACTGACAACCACATCCATTTTGAGCTGTTTGCTGGGGACTGCATTTGAGTTTGATTATGAGACAGTAATGTGGAACCATCAAGAATGCTAGTAAAATGGAAATTTGTCATGTCTAATCTTTCCTCTTTCTTCATTAAGACTGTTATTTTGTTGACAAATGAGGCAACTAGACTTTCTAATGTTATTTGATGTTAGCACCTTCCTTCTCTCCTACATGTCTATGAAGTTGCCAAATAATTTATTTTTGTGTCTTCATTGTACAAACAGTACTTTGGCATCTGTCATGTTCCCGATTTTTATCTCCTCCTATTTGAAACCCCCTAGTAATTTGTAGAAAAGCAAGTAAAGCTAAAAATGAACATTCCCATATGCCAGTAACATTCAGTAACTGTAGTTCTTCTTCCTTTAGATGTACCTGTGTACACTTTCAGGGATTCACTGTATCTCCTAAGCCCTGAGGAAGGTATACACTACAATCAGGCAGCTGAATCCCAAGCTTAAGACTTGGAAAGACAGTCTGGCAAAACCAATGGGGCTGTGGTTCACGCTCACCAGTTCCCATCACTGATACTGGTCACTCCAAAATAGTTATTGAAGACTAGTGATATTCTACAATCATCTAGAGGTTATATGGAGATAGCAGGCTGTTGCAGTGCATATCTGTTTTGTCAAATTCAATAAATGGTGTATTCCACATCTTTTGTCACACAAGGAATAGTAAACATGAAGTTTAACTAGCCACTAGATGTCAATGTTGCTGTGCTAAAAGGCAAATGCACTTGTTTTTGTTTGGCTGATAGAGTAATTTATTCAAGAAAATAATTTCTGTGTTTAAAGGTATTTCCAGTACCAAGTCAGTTACAAAAAGTAATCATAGACAAGCCCTGCTGTGTCCATTATTTTGCCAACAGCTGTGCAGTTTTATGCTATTTTGAAGTTGCARTTACCATTTCAGTGTCTAGTCATTGTTAGAAAAGTACATTTGAAAAAATAGCATCTGATTGATCATCAGTTTCCTTCCTTGTTCCAAAATCCCAGACCTTTGTGTAAGTAGCCACAATCATTGTATTGCATTTCGCTTGATAATAAGGTAAAATAGAGCTAATAATATGATATCTAATCCCATTATAAGAGTATTGAATTTCCTAAATTCCAGTTATCTGTGAACATTTTTCTCTTAATTATTCCTGTTTAACACCATTGGATATCAATGTCAGATACATTGTGGAGACAGAATTTCAATAACACTAAGACTTCCAATATGAAAAGCAATTTGGAAAACAGTTCTTTTGAAAATTTGTATATCTAAAGGCAGGCCTCACAGATGATGGCATTTTAGAAGGACATGAGAGGTAGAATTTACCCATGGACCTTTTTTATTTCTGGCTTCTCTACTTCTAGGGTGAACAAATCACAGTCAGTCTCCACAGCTACTTACTGCCTAGTGCACTGAAGGYGCTGGTTCTATTGTCTGTCTACAGAGCATTTATTTTAAAACCAAAATTTGGAAGTTAGTGCAAGAAACAGCAGTGGAAAGCTCAAGAAGATAACAGTGCACATCTCAAATTCCAAATTAAGCTTGTTCTGCTGTTAGGACAAAAACAAATATCAAAGGCTCTTAATAAAGTTGAAACTTTCTGTTGATCTGAAAGTCTCCCAACAAGCCTTCATAGAAGAAATGAAGAAATTGGTAAACAGAATCCCAGTTTAGGCCACAATGTTAGAAAATACAGACTACCTTACTTATTCCCTTAGCTCCACCTCCTGTTGATGCAGATAAGGCCTTTCAACGTCACACACCATTTGTAAGATTTTTTATTACTACTGACAGAAGAGCAGCCTTAATCTTCTTTATCATGGACTGAAGTAGTTT